TTGGGCCCACCAGCCCTTCCCTGGAAACCCTGTATGGCAGTTCTACTCTGTTCTTAGGGTCGCTATGAGCTGGAACCAACTCAACGGCAACGGGTTTTCAGTTCGTATGTACGGTTTTCATAAAAAAGGTATTTTACTTTTCTGAAAATAAGCCAGATTATGCAAACAAATCCAAACCAAACTGAAACAACTCAAAACTGATGCTCACAAGATACACTACCAATGTCCTGTTTCATTTAGCTTCTTATTAGTGAGAACTGAAACCAGTATAATTTCCTGTTCTTGTTAAACAAGACTGGGGCCAGACATACTCTTCTGTACTATGTTATACATACTTAGAACAAGCAAACATAACTTCAACTACTTGCTCTAGTAAATATATGCTCCTGGAAAATAAATAAGACTCTGAACCAACTAAAATAGTTTATTTATCAAGATTGCTAGCATATTCCTCAAGACTCACTTTAAGATCTTTACCTCTTTATGCCTACCGATGCAAAGCCATAACGTCATAAACTTTGCCCAATTCCAACCAGTCCCAAGCCTTGCAAGATCTGCCTTAAAATCACCAGTCCCGTTACTGTAACCATCGAAACATCCTCCTCTGATTCCTCCTTCTGAAACACTATTAAGACTCTGCCATGATGGTATCTGAATAACTACAGTATATCTAATAATCTTAGCTTTTCTTGGTTAAAAGTGTATCTTGTAATTTTTTGATGAATGAAACATCTATATTAGCAACAGTCTTTGGAGAGAAGTACAGTGTTAGCTCCAAACTGAGGGATGGACAAGATAGTCACCTCTAAGCTACTCCAGTTTTCTACCTCTCTGAATGATTGAAAAGAATACCAAGAATTTTCTCCAAAGCACTGTAATTTTGGAATATTACACACACTAAGAGTAAATACTCTCTCACGCAATATTCACCAGATCCTTTTCCAATAATTATGCAGAGAAATAAAGGAATTATCACTGTTGTAGAAGGCATGAACACAATATACAAAAGGTTTAAAGAGGAGGGCATCTTAAAATATTCTTTTAACATGTTTTATGTTCTACTAATAATAGATGGTGGTGATGTGGGTAGATGAATTAAAGATAATGAGATAAAGTCTAACAGTATTAGGAACAGGCGAATGAAAAATTTTGTGAGCCACATTGAACACCAAAAGACCAAAGTGTTTTACTGAGTTTACTTTCAACTTTAACTCACATTTCAAAATCCTACCAAGTATATCCTTTCAGAAATCATTCAGACAGGCGGAGTCAAGATGGTGGAGTAGCCAGATGCTTCCTGTGGTCCCTCTTACAACAAAGACCCGAAAAAACAAGTGAATCGATTGTATGTGACAATCTTGGAGCCCAGAACATCAAAGGCAAAGTCGAAGAATCAGACTGAGTGGCGTGGGAAGGGAGAGATGGTTTGGAAGCCACGAGGAGTTGCCAGACCTGACCTGGCGGGAGTCCTTCAGGCCAGATCAGCTCATGTGCGCGGTGAGGCAAGCAGTGGTGCTCAGGAGGCATTTTCCACACTGGGAAAGACCCAGCAGCAGACAGTCGATTGGCCATCCAGAAACAGTGAAAAGCAATACTCTAGTGGCTAAAGATAAGTACTTGCATCTGGTCTACCGCATGGATCAAAAAATATCCCATTTGGGAAAAACGTCTGTCCCATTTACCTCCACCTTCCCTGCTCTGCTCTGGGTTCTAGGCTTCAGTGATTGCTGAGCCCCCTGGGCAGGAAGTAGGACCCATCACGTGCCCTGAGCCATTCTCCTGGCCTTGGAGAGGGAACAAATTAACAAACATGGAAAAAATAAGCTGCTGTTCCCCTAAGCCAGGAACTCAGGGTTGGCACAGCTCCTTTGCCTAGACACAGGCATAAGAGGTCCATGGACTTTGAATGCCTTTCCCCCCTGCATAGACTTGTGTGGACACATTTCAACAGTGTAGGCCCTCATTACCACAGTACAACAGG